AAACACAAATGCACCCACTTTGCCCAGCTAATACCTCTGCTACATTCTGAGTTCTTCCACCAAAATTTAGAAATCATTGAGTTTAGGTCTGCGCAGAATGTTACAGGAAGTTTAAAGACTCTCATAGCATAATTTGGAATGCTCTGAGCCACCGCTTTGATAAGGAAAGCCTTTCCTGCTTTTGAAAGTGGTTTCTCTTTCCATCCATTAAGCTTCTTTCTCAATCTTTCTTTTATTCCATTAAAGCACTCCTTCTTTTTCCTACCAATCACAGTTGGCAATCCCAAATATTTCTCATGAAACTCAACAATTGGGATCGCTAAAATGCTACTCACCTCATTCCTTAATTGCACAGGAGTGTTAGGACTGAAAGCAATTGCAGACTTAGCCAAATTTATTTGTTGCCCTGCTACCATCTCATAAATCTCGAACACCCTCTTAAGGGTTCTACAGGCCTGTGGTGTTGCTTCAAGAAAGAGCAAGCTGTCATCTGCAAAAAAACAAATGAGAAATTGGAGGGGGCCCCCTTGCAACTTCAATCCCTTTTATATCACTAGAGAGCTCAACCTGTTTAATAAGTGTAGAGAAACCCTCTGCACAAATGAGAAAAAGATAGGGAGATAAGGGATCTCCTTGTCTAATCCCCCTTTGTGGGATAATATTACCTTCCACAGCTCCATGCCTTATCAAAGAATATGAGACAGTAGAAATACATTCAAAGACCAGCTTAATAAACTCATCAGGGAAACCCAATTTCTCCATCATTTTACAAATGAAATTCCACTCAACTCTATCATACGCTTTTGCCATGTCTAGCTTCAAAGCAAACCTTGGGACTTTTCTCCCCCTTCTACATTTCATGGCATGGATTGTTTCAAAAGCCAGAATAATGTTATCTGAAATTTGCCTCTTTGGAACAAAAGCACTCTGGCTTTCAGATATAATCATTGGGAGCACACACTTTAATCTGTTAGCTATGGCCTTCGAAATAATTTTATAAATCACATTGCAAAGAGATATTTGCCTGTACTGAGTCACATATTCCAGTTTTTCAACTTTAGGGATGAGAGCTATCAAAGTCTTGTTCAGGCTTCTCACACTTTCCTGCCCATTCAGAATTTTTAGACATATCTCAGCAACTTCGTCCCCAAGAATGTGCCAATATTTCTGGAAAAAAACAGCAGACATTCCATCAATTCCAGGATCCTTTGAAGGAGGCATTTGCTTCAAAGCAAACTCAACCTCATTTTTGTTGTAAGGCTTAATAAGAAAATGCTTCATCTGATCAAGCACTTTTGGACTAACCTTGTTAGTGATCACCTCTATATTATGCCCTCCTGTTTTTGCAAAGAGAGACTGAAAATAACTACTAAAAATTTTTGTTACCAATCTTTTGTCCGTACACCATTTCCCCTTTGAATTATACACCCATGCTATGAAATTAGTCTTTGTCCTCTCCTTTGCCTTTTCATGGAAATAACTTGTATTTTTATCCCCTTCTTTCAGCGACTCCACCCTTGACCACTGCTGCCACATAACTTCTTGTTTTTCCAGCAGATCTTCAATCTTTCTTTCAAGAAACTCCTTCCTCTGACTCTGTTGTTTCGAAGGATTAATACATTGCAATAATTCCAGCTCTTCTTTGCACTCCTTCAATTGGTTCTTGACACTCCCAAAAACATCTTTTTCCCATTTTTTAAAAGAAGAGGCACACTTATTGATCTTTTCTTTCACGGAAATGCAATCAGCTCCACTATGTTCCCAAGCAATCCTCACAACATCTTCAAATCCCTCTTCTTTCAACCACATCTTTTCAAACTGAAATCTGTGCTTCCTTGCTGAACTTCCATCATCATTACTCTTTTGGGCAATAAGAGTTAAAAGAACAGGCCTGTGATTAGAAACAGTACTATTCAGGTGATGAACCTTTGTTTGGTGCCACAGGAGCCTAAACTCTGCATTTGCAACAACTCGATCAAGTCTCTCCCAAAGAACATTCCCATTACCATTCTTCCAACACCAAGTGAAAGGAAAACCTTCAAAACCGATATCACTCAGGCCACTATCCTCTAGAGACTTTTGGAAATTTTCCATTTGATACATTGGTCTCCTTCTAACACCATTTGAATCTCTTTCCGAAAGCAGCTCATTAAAATCACCCAAGCAAACCCAAGGGCTTATACCAGAACTCGCCAATCTTCTTAGCAATTCCCAAGAGAAAATTCTTAAGGATGTTTCAGGGTTACCATAAAATCCAGTCACTCTGAATGGTTGTATGAGATGATTATTCACCCAACAGTCTATATGGCCAGCTGATGTAGACAACACACTCACTTGAACTTCTTTCCTCCACAGCATTGCAAGACCCCCGCCCTTTCCGATTCTTTCTACATCAAAATAATTATAGATTCCCCATTTCAACACCTTCTCTTTCAACTGCACACTGGTACACTTAGTCTCTATAAGGAAAATTAATTGGGGATTTTTCTCTCTCAATAAATCATTGAGAGCTCTAAATGTCCGAGGATTCCCCAAACCTCGGACATTCCAACTTAAGATATTCATTTCTCGTGGTGGGCCATCATCTCCGGGCCCACCACGGATTCATACATGGCAATCTCATTGCTTTTTCCCTCATCCACTTTCTTGTGCTTTGAAGCTTCCCCTTCCATAATTGGTTCCCCACTCCTTTTCCCATCAATCTGCACCCGGGGAGTTGTCTGATCATGGGAGGAATTATTTGAACCACTCTCTCTTGCTAACCTTTTCCAATTCCGCCCTGTTTTGGTCTGCACGTCCTTTGGCTCTTTGCCAGCTAGAGTGCCACTCTGTGAATCAAGACCAACCCCTAACTGAATTACCACCTCAAAATCCCCAAATAAAGCTTTATCAGCTTCAGAATGAGATATGGCACAAATCTTTTGTTCTTTCATTCCCCCTTGACAATTCGGTTCAACACTTCTTGTGGAAACAGAGGAGGTTGAGCAGCCCCCTTCACTAACCTTCTTTGTCTCTGTGAGATTAGCTTTTCCATTTTCCTCCTTGCTTTTCCCATTTTCATCCCTTTGCTCAGACCTTCTAGAAATTCGTTGAGAACTCAATGACTTTGAAGTCGAGTGTCCCATTTCTTTTCCTTTAGAACCTTCTCTAGACAATTCTTTCATCTGTAATCTTCTTGCATTCAATGCCTGTGATTGTGAAGAAGCAGCTTGCATCTTGTTACTGACTTCAAGACTACCTGTTTGTTTTTTCTTTGTTGGAGAGCTGACAGCATCTGAAAATTCTCGTGAATCATTTTCCTGTTTTCCTTCACCAAGACTTTTCCTATTTCCTCTATTTTCTTCCTCCTCCTCTGAACTAGAATCATAAAACTGGCTATTTGATGATTGGGCCTGACCATAGCCTCTTGGGACCTTCTTTGTTGGATACCGCCGTTTCATTTTATTAGTACTGTGTAGCTTAATTAGTTATAGATAAATAGGCTTGTAGATGATTCATCACTTAGCTTCCAGATGACTGAAATGCGTGACATTTATTGATAAAGGCAGTGATTTCATGTTAAAATTCTTTTAAAAGTGGACCTTGTGCCTCATAAGAGTAGTAATGCTGGAAAGTCTTAATTGTAAATCTAAGGGGCCGAAAGAAGTAGAATTTGAAATTGGAGGCACTAGGAAAGGAAGGATACTGAAGGTACTCGGAAATTGTGTTTATAATTAGGTCAATCATTAATTTTTATTCAAATTATCATATGAAAATGAAAATGTCAATAACCCACTCTCAATATTCAATATACGGTATACCCCCTAAACCCATATCA